AAAAAAAAAAAAAAAAAAAAAAAGGGGGTGTAATGGAGGGAGGAGTAGAAAATATACCAAATGGAATGGTAAAGTGTTTCATGTAATCGATCTTTCCACAAAGGTCGCATTTTTGTTTTTTTGTTTGTTTCCTTTTTTTATATTATGTGTTCATATATAAAAGAGCATTGTCATATATGGATGGTACTCTTGTGTTCGTTTGTGACGGGTTTTTTTTTTTTTTTTTTTTTGCCACACCCAGAGAGTGTTAACCTTCGCGCAAAGCGGAGAAAACTCAACTCCCACGAACCAAAAGTCAACACATGAGGAGAGGGAATCCCCTCTCATTCACGTTAGGAGATGGTAGCCTGTCCGACTAACGAGGCCTTCTACGGATGTGCAATTTTTACATAGCATTTATTTACACAGGTTCATGTGTGTCATCCCAGTCGTCACTCCCCCATGTTGTGTATATGTGTGTACGTGATGACCATACCTTACGGTCTTTAATTTGAATTCAGCTCTCCTTTTGCGATCGACCACGCAAGTGCTGCTTATGTTCTGCGTGCCTTCACATTAACACACGCAAGATGAAATCGATGCTTCCGATGTACCTCATGTTTTACATTTCAATGGGTAAGACAGAGAGTCACTTCTCCCCCACCTCCTCTGTGGGTTGTTAGTGAATCAAGTCCCAACGTTAGTCGCAACCGTGACATACGTGTAAAAGAGGCGGTCTGCATTTTCAGCATGACGCATATGCTGAGGGAAGGGACCCACTTCACCTTTTGAAGCGGTCTTGCGAGGTACCACCGGGGAGTATCCGTCCATGTGTATGCTTTCGCGCACATGCATGCTCGCTTATGTGCGTCTTTAATCAGCTCCCCGATTTTTTCACCCCATCACCGAAGGCGCGATCGGCCTGGGTAGAGGCAACCACATGATGATTCCCCTGAAGGTACGCTGCTTCCTCTTCAAGATGTACACGCAGGTAAGCCTTTAAAAAGTGTGCACCGGAGAAATGTGAACCATGGCTCACATGGGAAGGGCTGTCAGGGCGAGAAGCAAAAATGGCACACGTAGATAATTCGTGTGCCCAACTTTGAATTTTTTTCATTTTTTTTAAAAAATAAACAAAAGGTATTGTATACCAAATTTACATTTGTACACCTTGGCCAGTAAGTGGAAGCAACGGTATTATAATTTTTTTTTTTTTTTTTTTTTCTTCATTTTCACATGCACATGCATGTTGCACGCACCTCCACCGGTGTGCTGTGCGTTTTGCGGCGCGCAGGAAAGTTCTCGACGGAGCGTCTCTCTGTTTGCTGCTTTTCCGTTGACTGCTTTTCTGTTTACTGCTTTTCCGTTGACTGCTTTTCTGTTTACTGCTTCTCTGTGCTTTTATTTCCTCCCCCGTTGACTCCACTCACCTTCGAGTGTTGCCCTTCCCCCAAGTTACGAAAAAAAAAAAAAAAAAAAAAAGGCACG